TTTTGAGGCCTGAATTAAGGCAGTGCAGTGGAAATAAAAGAGGAGGACTTGGGGACCAGTGAGATGTTGGGGTGGGGGACTGGGTAGGAGAGGGAGGACTTCATTCCTAGACTTTGGCCAGATTCCTCATTTAAGATCCTGGATGGTGGTGACACTATGACTAAGCTAAGGAACACAGGAAGGATATTGAGCTCTAAGCCTAAGGATTATCACATTTCTTTCTTACCGAGTTGGTCATTCCTTCCTGTACCTACTACTCCACCCTCAGTAAAAACAGTGGCATTTGGCCCTTTGCTGTGCTCTTTGGGGACTGCAGACTGAGAATCTTTTCCAAGCGTTTTCAACCAAAATTGAGCTTGGGGAGGTCTCCACTGCAGTTAGCCAATGGTGTTTATTAAAGCACCAAACTATTCTTGGGGATTGGATTGAGATTGGCCCACATAGGAAAATGTAAATTGTGACCATTCATGGTCACACCAAATAACTGAACTCATTAGTTCCATATGGTCAGGGGTGGAGTGCAGAGTGGTGATTTGGATCATAGCCATCGTTTGTGGAAGTGCTGGGTGGGTATAAGCATGGTAGTTACCTTGCCCTGACAGTTTTTTTCCAGGGGAGTGTGTGTCTCTTTCTCCATGCCATAGGAAATTGTTTGCCAGATTGTGTTATTTATAACAATCTGTCATAGAACAGCTGCCAGAAAAGAAAAGAGGCTATTCCCAGTAGCTGTCCCCACCTCCCACCCCACCATTACCACCACACACACATCCGGTTTTCTGATTTAACTTTTGTTTTTTTCTTCTAGTTTTACTCTGTGGTTTTGGCTTGATTAAAAATGTTCTTGTAATGAGAGATTTCTGGGCTTTGCCATGGCTTGGTAATTGGGTTTTCTAAGCTTAATTTGTTTGCTTTAGCCAAGACTAACTGGCAGCAGTTTGGGTTTTGAATTCCTGGGTGTCTTGATTTCTCCCCAAACACTAAAGTGCAGTCTTCTGCCGTCCCTTGAAGACCTTGTATGTTTCCAGTTTGTCAAAAATGCACACATTTGCTGTCCTTAAGAGCTGTGCTTTTTGCCCTTGACCTTGCCCTGGCTCCTCTAGAGGAGCAGCCTTGGGATAAGGCATCCTGAGGACTCTTGGAGTAGTCAGTGGGGAGGCCTGTGGAGATGCCGGTTGGTCTCTGCAGTAAAAGAGGCATATTATTGGCGTTAGAAGAGAACTCCTCCTCCCAAACATAAGCAGCTGAGGGTCGGTGTGCCCCGGGGACTTGCAAGTTAATTGCACTTCAGATATACGGTTGCTTCACAGTCCAAACAGTCTGTGTTTATTCATGGTTTGTGGTCACACGTGATCAGAAATACTTCTGGCTCTTAGCAGTTTTTCCACTTTCTCTTTGTGGACTCCAGTTAGTAGAAGAACATTTGCATTTCTAGTGTGGGCTTTACATTTTTAGAATAAAAATCAAAACAGTAGTCATTTATATTCTTTCTATTACACCTTCTATAAAAATGTAAAGAAAAATAGTATTATGAAGATGTCAGGATGATTTAGTTTTCCTTTGAGACTTGTTTCTTCTTGCAGCATTTCCAGCTTTGGAAACAAAGTACATTGATCAGACAGCAAAGACTTTCCTTTGGAAGTGGTGGAGCTGTAAAGAGGACGGGAATGTGTCTGGACTCAGTGAGTCTTACATGGTGCATTCTCTGGGAACACAGGCAGGAGAGGGCCTGACAGAGTGGCACCTTCATCTGTATCCCAGGCCCTGGCCTTTCAGACTGACGCCTTTCTTTTCACACTGAGAACAGATGGCAACCAGACACTGGGGGGAGGAGCCTGTTCCTTGTGCTCTTTGGGGATTTTGCATTCAGCTTAGCAAAAAGTCATCTAAAAGCAAAGAGAAAAATGAGGCTGCAGACTGTTCACAATTATGCAGGACTTGTTTGGCATTCACTCTACTGACAGATTTATTTTTTGCAGATATTGAATGATAACAGCATTTATTTTCCAAAACGGCGTTGTCCCCACTTCAGAGGCATCTGGATTGGGGTCATGTTCTTCACTTTGGGGTACACTTAGTAACTCAATTTATTGTAGAGCAGTCAGCTTGCAGAAATCAGTCATCTTATTAGAGAAACTTAGAAAAATAGAAAAGAGATTTTTTTTTCTTCAGCAAACCGTCATTTTCATTATAGTGAAATGAGGCAACTTCTGTAGTGACATGTCTTTAGTAATGGCCCGTGCGCCCTGCCTTTCTAAGCATTGTTGTGAGAAGTAGATTCTGTAGGCTGTTTCTTCCTTAGCTGGCGTGTTATAGGCTGACTTGTGAAGGTTTGGTGGTTCCTGGATAGTGAGTTGCAGTCTTAGGAATTTTTTTCCTAAGAAGAAATATATGGAGAGACTTTTTTTTTTGTGGCTCAGAGTTAAGATTCAGAAGGAAGTAAGAGAGCCTTAAGTAGAAGAGTAGGGAAAAAAATCCACATTTGAACTTCTTAACCTAAAGAGGCCTTCAAAAGGAATTGTTTAGGTATAAATAATGAGTTATATGTAGAAAAAGAAACGATGGTTCTGGTACAGATTGTATGTTCAGGGTAAGAAATCTCGGGCAGTAAGACAAGGCATTCTGATGGTTGAGCCTTACTTTCTGAGCAAATATGACTCTGCTTTCCTAGAATGTGAGTTGAAATCATCCGTTTCCCCACCCAAAGGAGGAATCTTGATTTTAAAGTCTTAGAAAAGTTGGAACCACTTACAAAAATTTCCACGTCGATATCCACTTTACTCTTAAACCAGTGATAATTTAGTTCAGTGTTTTTCAGACTTTTTAAAGTACAGACCCTGTTTTCCAAACCAAAGCTTATACAGAAGCCTAGAAAATAAAATTAATTAAAGAGCTGCTGCCCTGGTTGACTCAGGAAGGGCAGTAGGAACCAGGCTTTCCCTAAGCCACCTTTGGGAAAGAGTAGGTATGCTATTGAGAAACAGTGTAGTCGATTTAGATTGCGATATAAGGAATTTTCCAGTTGATTGTTTTTGGCCTTCTGTTTTCTGCATTTATGATAAAACGTAATGGCAGAATGTATAGATAGAAATTTGTTTCAAATATATTAAGTAATCTTTCTTAGCCACTCACATTTGATACTTTCTAGTCCAACTTTCCTCCAGGTTCCAGAATAGTGTCTGACTGAGCATAGAGTAAGTGTTCAATAAATGTTACATAAGTGAATCATGGCAAGTTATAATCCAGTTTCTGCTTGAGCACTTCTAATGATGGGAAACTCATTTCCTTACCAAATTATTCTTTTTGACTAGCTCTGATTGACAGATATAAGTTAATATGGAAACCAAAAATACTTCTGTTCATGTTTTACCTATTCATTTTTAGTTTTGCTGTTGGGCTATTCAGGTGAAATTTGGTTCTTCCTTAAGACTGTCAAGTATTTGAAGAGTGCTGTAACCCCACTCCTGCTCCTTGTCCTGCGCAGGGTCCCCCACACACAATCTTTTCTTTTCCCTACTGAACAACTTTTGTTCTTTCAGCTGTCACAGTTTCTCGCTCTTTCACCATCTTGATCATCTTATTGGTAGTTTTTCAGTTTATCAAGTTTGCTCTTAAAATATGATACTCCAACTGGTATCTAGTACCCATAGATTGGGGACTAGACAGACCAAAATTTAGAGTATCTGCCTAAGATCTAAATTCGGGTCTCTTTGGTACCCAGTACTGCAGACTAGAACCTCCCTTAAAAGGATCTTCAAACTAGCAAAGTTATATTTCTTTAAACACTGTTCAATAGTACAAATTCTTTAGTTAAATGAATAGTCATCACTAGTTGTTAGATCTTAGATAGTTACATATCTACTATAAACCTGTTTCTTTGTAAAGTATAAATAATAATAGCACAGTAGCATAGGGGTTTTGAAGACTGAGATAATGTGTACAAAGTGTTAATCATAATTCCTAGCCAATAGTATACATTCTATAAATGTTAATTATCAATGTTAGTTATTATTGTAATTAATCTGAATTACTAAAATTGCCATCAGAAAACCCACTGCTGTGAGAAAATCTTTTTTTTAATCTTGAGGAAGATTAGCCCTGAGCTGACATCTGCCACCAATCCTCCTCTTTTTGCTGAGGAAGATTGGCCCTGAGCTAACATCTGTCCCCATCTTCTTCTGCTTTATATGTGGGATGCCTGCCACAGCAAGCAGTACGTAGTTCTGCACCTGGAATCTGAACCGGCAAACCCTGGGCTCCCAAAGCAGAGCATGCAAGTTTAACCACTATGCCACTGGGCCAGCCCAAGAAAATCTTTTTTTACTTTATTAATTCATTCATCAGACAGTTACTGTCTACTATGTGCCACGCAGGCACTGTGGTAGTAGGGTCTCATATTTTTTTACCCCAAAAAATGAGGACTAATAATAATAATAGTGACAATCCCATACTCATGGAATTGTTATAAGGATTAAATGAGTGCTTTTATACATACCTGAGGTTGTATTGTAATTGTTTACTAAAAAGACTGATTTCCCAAAGAGGGGGGCGTTGTATTATCTTCATCCTGTTATTTCCTAGTACTGTAGCAAAGTGACTGCTTTATAGTATTTCCTAACTATATTGAATCATCAAACTATGTGAAAATGCTTTTTAAGCTGTAAAGGGATGTATAAATTTAAGATCATTAATTCCATAGTCATGGAAATAGACAATGTGGTGGTTTTCAGGCTCCGTTCCTTAGTGCCCAGGATTCCAGAGGTGACTCAGGGATGGTAGCAGTAAGGCACACACAAAAGGGAGGTCGATAGTTCAGGCTCTCCTCCAGCACAGTTCAATTAGAATAACCCCATTTATTTTACTTGCTCTGCTGCTGTGAAAAAGGTTTGAAAACAAGTGTCCAGTTTGTGTTGCTTCTAAGCCATTGTAAGTTTATCCTGTGATGATTTGTGTGATCCATTGTTTTTTTGTGATAATTGACTTTCCCTTTCTCCATGTGACAGACAGATGTACTGGTCCTGAGCTGTGATCTGATAACAGATGTTGCCTTACATGAGGTTGTGGACCTTTTCAGAGCTCATGATGCATCACTTGCCATGTTAATGAGAAAAGGCCAAGATAGCTTAGAACCAGTTCCAGGTCAAAAGGGAAAAAAAAAAGCAGGTAAGGAAACTGGAGTTTGATTTATTTGTTTGTTGGGTTTTTATAATTTTTATTTTGTCATTCATGCTTTTACTTAAGAAACATTTATTGAGAACCTACTGCACTGTAGGTACCATGCTAGGGGTTGATGACATAAAGTCAAATAAGACACAGTCCCTGTCTTGAAGAGGCTTGTAACTATTGATTAGGTTCTGTAATATCCAATAGGCTTTTTGTATGCAGAGAGGAGCATCTGAACTGTTTGTATTGTATTTAAGGCTCAAAAAATTGAATGCAATTTATCTAAGAAACAAAAAAATCTAATTTAAAATCAGTTCTTTTGAAAGTATTTAAACCTTGATTACAGATTTAATTAGATACATTTAAGCAATTAAAATTATTACAAATTTAGTATGATTGATTCTTCTGAGTACTCCAATCATCCTAAATAACCAATAAACGAGATAGTTGTTAACCATGCTTTGTTTTCTTAGGATTACAACATATTTGTCTTGATGTTTTCCTAGGATTCTAGTAGTAGGTTATTTAATTTTTTTTAATCTTCAGAGAGTTATAGTAATCTTACCAGACCAAAAAGAAAAGGAATAATACTCTAGTCCAGCCAAGGTTACAGAAATTGGTTTATTGACCTGTTGTCAGTTTTTGATAAGGCATAATTCCTGATTGCTTTCTCCAGAGTATTTCAAACCTGAGTTACCAATTCCCTGACTGCTACTTTTTTGAAAAGTAGTTTCTTAGTTCTTTCTCCTCTTCACCTGAATCATTTCTATATTTTCATCTTCTAGGTCACTAGTCCTCTCCTCCATAAGGTCTGCTGTATTTTTTGTGCTTTTACATTATTTTTTATCTCACTGATTGTGTTCTTCCTCTCCAGAATTTCTATTTGGCTTTTTTTTTAAGCTTCAGTCTCTTTGGTGAGGTATTCCTTCTGTCATTAATTTTCTTCCTGAGCTCATTGAACCATCTTTCTGAGTTTTCTTGTAACCCATTGAGTTTCCTTATGACTGCTATTTTGAATTCTCCGTCAGATTGTAAGTTTCTGTGACTTCAGATTTGGTTTCTAGAGAGTGGTCATTTTCCTTCTGTTCTGCCGTGTTACTGTAGTTCTTCATGGTATTTGGTGAGTTGATCCTCTGCCAGCACATTGGGGGTAGTAATCACCTTTTATTTGGGTACAGCTTTGGTTGCCTTGGTCTCATGTTCTTGGCTCTCCGCAGGCTCAGATGCCATTGTCTCATGCACCACCTGTGTTGCTGTTCCCTAGTTGTCTGGGGATGCTTGTTATGCCACTGCCATGAGTGCTGGCTTCGTGAGTGTCGCTGTCACTAGTCGGGGCTCAGGGACCTGGAGACTTGTATGCAGCCCCCCTGCTGATGGAGTTGGTATTGAGGGTGCCTCTACTGGGGACCAGGTGCTCCCATCCTGTCTGAAGGGAGTTGTATAGGTCGGACTGCTGCCTCTGCTGCTGCTCCACCAACTGTCATGGGATGGGACCACTGCCGCGCTATTACCACTTCCCCTCAGGTGTTGATGCATGCGCATGTGCACATGGGGCTGCTGCCGGCCACCTCTGCCTCCCCAGGGATATTTGCACACGTGCAGGGCTGCAGCCAGATGCCACCACCACCTCCTGACTAGGCTTCTTTTGATAACTAAACTTATGGCCAAAAAGCTTTATAAGATCACATTTTTTATATAGGTTTTAATTTTTCCTGAAATGATGTGTTCATTAAGTTTTACTTAGCCAGTATTATATAACCCATTGTCCTGTCATTATATATTGATGTAATTTGTTACAATTATCAGAAGCTATGTATGGCTTATTAGTATCTTATTATTATTAATAGAGCCACCTAGAGCTTTCATTCCTGGGATTTGAGTAATCTAGTTTGTGTTTTTAGCTCTCTTCTGTAGAGCATTTGGTTAACTTACAATTTTGGATTATAGCATTGAAACTTCTTTCTAGTTGCTTTTTGTGTTCAAGTGATCACTGGTGCAGATTAATTGTTGAATCCTCTTTCTACCTTGTTACTATGTATGATCCTCATGTCAATCAGTCCTTTTGTTCTTGATATGGTTTCTACTTTTGTGAGGTTTAGTTTGCCTACTCGCAGTTCCCTGTATTCAGCCTTTTCTACCTACACAGATAGAAACAACTGTATATCCAGACTTTATAAACAGATGTCGATTTTATAAATATGAATGTTTTTATTTCTTTTTTCCATACTGCTTTACTTATAACAATTTAAAAAAATCAAATACCCTATTATAGTTACTCTTCTTGGTATTAGAACTGTTTAATACATTTCATATTAACTTTTATCTCTTAAGTGTCATTATAAATGCATACCTTTTCACAATTTTATTTTAAATTAACTAGTATCTATCTACCTATCCATTTAAAAAGTTTTGATACTTAAATTGTCACAACATGGCCAGTGGAAGTTCCTTTAAGCTGGCTCTCCTATCTTCTTTGGGAAAGTATGATGCGGAGGGGTAACTTGCTTTATAGCTGGAGTGTGAGTTTCGAGGTCAGGGAAGCAGGAAATGGGACTGAAGAGGATACAGGGATCAGACTAAAGAGTCTGAACTTTCTCTCCGAAACAGTGGGGAGTCATTGAGGAATTTTAAACAAGAGAATGGTGTAATTAGATTTGTGTTTTAGAAAGAATTTTCATTCTTAACATGACTTTTTGAACTCCTCAATATCTATATTTTGTTATATTTGAAGGTTATACTTCACCTAAATAACTGAGTTTTAGATTCCTCCAATGAAATGCTATGCATTTCAGTGATAAGCATTTTTTAAAAGAATCCCAAATTTCTCAGTTTATATATTTAGTCTGCCTCTTGGCTGCTATTATGTGCCAAAACAGCCAGCAGTCCCCTCTTCCCCAGGCAAAAACTGTATGATCCTGGGCAAATTATCTAATGGTCCTGGACTTCATTTTCTTTAGCTATAAAATGAGACTGAATCCTTTCAGAATTTTTTGTGAGAATGAAATGAGATGTCTGTAAAAGCATGCAGTCTACTGCTTGAAACATAGTAGTTGCTTAATAAATTGTAATTGCTGTTAATATCACCATTTTCACATTTTTAGAAATATTCCTATGGGAAGTAATTTGGTCCTGTAGCCTAAGAAATCACATTTAATAACTTTGTAAGCATTCTACAGTGCATATTTAAACGGAAAACTTCATATTTTATGTAAAATGGCAATGCTTTAAAGACCACAAAATATCAAAATGTTTTTGTTTGCATAATAGCATGTAAGTCTAAAGGGAAACTACAAGTGGCAGCCTAAATGTCTAGATAAACTTCTTTGAAGGACAACACATAACTTTTTCTGGTGATTCAAACAGGCCTGCTTTCCAGCCTTTTTTCGGTATCAACTTCTCAGAAAAAATTGGATGACTTGGAGGTGTGAGAAGGACCCAGAAGCTTAGCTAAGCTGTGCTTGTTTTGTTTTATTGGAGACGACATGTTTATTGAGTAAGGGACTCTTTTTCTGGACAAATTATTGACTGTTATCTCTGCAGCTCCACTTTGTCTCTTGGGATATTTAAAAATGGAAAAAGTTCTAGGAAGCTGTTATTTAACCCAGCCAGTTCACTGTAGTATTTCTCAAACTCCTCCCCAGCTCTTAGAGTATATAGCCTGAGTCCAGACTAGAGTCAGTATATGTCACTGTGCTTCAGAATCACACAGTGAAAGCTGTCACTTGGTTGTCACCTCTCAATCAGCTTAGCTCCCTCTACACTAACAAATGTCGGCAGGCAGTTCTGAGCTTATATTTCTTTTGCTTCCATTTCTTTTATTTTTCTCAAAGCTGTACTGCAAAAAAAAAAAAAAAAAAAAAAAAAGAATCCCATTCCTGCTTGGGCTTCTGCTTTATCTAAATTCTCTTCTCAGTCCCCATTTTCTCCCCCAATCCCTTTTTTTCCTAATTATATCCAATGGAAATGACCTGAAATCCTTGCAGTCTGAAAATTAAAATACTTCTGATTGAGAAAACAGTATACAGAAGTAAGTTCAAATATACTAGAATTCATAAGTCACAGTATGATAAATACAATATAGGAGCATGTGCAAAATACAGGGGGCAATTTAATGTCTCAGTTACGGGGAAATGTATGTAAAGGCAGGATGTTTGAAAAGAAGGAGCTGAGCAATTTACTCATGTGCAGAGAGGGTAGTTGGTATGAAATCAGATCCTTGACTTACAAATGCATTAAATTTTGATGTAGATGTGGAATTTAGGATAAACTATATATAAAATCTATTCCAAGCCCTATGTGAGAAACGAAGGTAATCAGGATTTGCTCTCAAGCTAAAATCTAATGAATGGAGCTAGGTGGTTTTATTTACCAAGTTTTTATATCCATTTATGGCCTTCTAGTACTTTGTGAATAGTTGCTCAAGATCACATCAGTGGTAAGTGGTAGAATCAGAACTTGAACCCATGCCTTCTGACTCCATAGCCTGGGCTTTCTTTTTCTTTCTTTTTTGAATTTAGTTTTTATTTTAATCAAGGTTTTATATGCCCATAATTTAAAGAGTGATATAATTATCCAAGATAGATTATGATAAATAGCAACCCCCTACCCTGTTTATGCTCACTTCAGTCAGAGCCAGCCACTTTCAACATTTTTAGCTAATTTTTTTCACATTTAATTCCATATCTCCAAGTGACATGCTTTTGTTTGCTATGTCTTGATATTTTTAGCTTTTGTTTGCTGTCTTGATTTCTCTGTTTGCTTCGTACTATGAAACTTAAAGATTTAGTTCTATTTTACTATATCCTTTGCCTCCAACACACACACAAACTTTCAGTCTCCTCAGCTTCCTAATATAGTTATTTATATTGTAGTGTTGATGAACTGAATATTTAATATTTACATTATTACAACTATAAATGATATTCACAGCTGAACCTTATAGTATATGATTACTTTTCTCTTTCTTCCTTGTATTTTCCTAAAAATTAATTTTCTTGTTT